CTTTGACAAGGTGAGGATCGGCTGTCCACTCTCATCGCATATGATCTCGTTAGTACCAGGTCTCCTGCTACCCGTTTCTTGTATCAGACGGACTAACTTCGGATGGTTACCAAGATCAGCTGCTGTCCCAATCTCTGAGGCACGATGAGACCACTAGGCTTCGCGGTATTTCTTCAGGCTAGCACGTAGCTTCGCCCTGAGAGCTCTGCGAATCTCATTGTATTCGCTTCCAGCCGGAATACACCGGCGCGCATCTAGAAGTTCTGGAGAATGCATAGAGACCCAATGTCTAGGTTGGCAATTTGATTTGCCACATGAAGAGATGCCTGCTGCTAATAACGTCTGGTGGATATGCGACCGTGATCTTCAACTGTATTCAATGAGCATTTACTCAGGTCGGATGTTAGCGTACTTTGGTAGGCATTCAGAACATCAGGCTTTGCCAGTTGGCACAAAATCTATGCGTGCACAGCGCCGTTGCGGACGTCCGTCGGAACGTACCTGGATGTCGACGGAAACAAGTGCGTGGTCAGAGTCCACGATGGTGCCCCAAATCGAGCGACAGTTTTGACGCATCCTCTCCAGCGGTAACTGATCGCAGTGTGATCGATTTGCGTCCACGGCTGATCCGAGGCAAGTGGACGCCATGTCACCCTCCGGCGGGTGCTGTGTCTGAAGTTAGTGCTCGCAAGAAAGAGACGAACATCTTCACACAGTTGTACCTATCGCTCACCGTTATCACTACGGGAGCCTGCACCGTGTTGACAGCCCAGATGAAGCTGATCAGTGGACAGCTTTCCGACTTGGGTGTTTAATTCACCAGCAAGTACCATAGTATCCATACATTTTCCGTGACGGAGGAGCACGTTTAATTGTTGATAGAAGTCGTCCTTCACCGATTAAGCGCTACAATTTTTGGGCGCATAGTCCAGAATGACTAACCAGCACTGTATGTCCCCGCGCAACTTCGATGCTTTGAACGAGCCAGCCAATCTGACAGCGCGTATCCGGCTGTTCATTAGGATTCAATCGATCAAAGCAGATTCAGCCCTATGGGTAAAATTGATGCTCACACTGGCTTGACCGGCATCTGAGACCGCTTCATCTCCGGACAAACGCAATGAGAAAATACCGCCGACATCGCACGTTTGGGATCGGAGGATAATCACAAAACTCGAACCTTGCAGGCGAGTTTCCGACAACCAGCATATATCCATTAATCTAGTCTCGTGTCTGGGCAAGTGCTGCCTGTTGGTCAGGTTGCAGAAAAGTGCGTACCCTGATGCTTGCCAGTCTTAGGGAGGACTGAGCTCTCCAAATGTAGCATAGAATCAGATGAACTGAACTTGTCCGTTTGGCTGGACGTGAATTTGTCGACTGGACCGGGGCGACGCTCTGCGACTGAGCGTGTCGAAATTAGAATACGGACCAGTGCTGAACAATTATGTGGTAGGGCCAAGAATTTGTGGATTGTAAACAGAGGGAAAAGTGAATTTGCAACCGGACGATAAGGATGAAAAAGTTCGAGAAAGGGAATAAGAAGACGTCAAATCTTGGGGAGTAGCATCCAAACCCCTAGCAATCATGTTCGATGCAGCACATAGAGCACGGTTGGTTTTACTCCTCGACGGACAGAGCATCAAGAGATTATTTAAAGAAGTCATAATGTTGTGTTGCGTGGGCAGGATACTGTCAGGTTGCTCAAGCCTAGACAGGAGAACGATTAGGCTTCTCAACAAAAGCCTTAGGTTCAGAAACCTAACCGCAAGACAGCGCAGTTTTGGCGCTGGGCTAAAGAGGATCCGTTTTATGGAGTAAGAAGCCACCGTCACTCTAACGCCAAACCTGTAGGGTCAGGTAGGTTTCCGTGCAGTGCGGTACTGTGTGGACTGTATATCCACTCTGCGGTGGACTTCATCATGTAGTGTTCCCTTTCGGAACCCTGTGATGCTGGTCTCAAGTTGTTCCCCGATCTAGCAGTAGTTTATCTTGATAATCGGGACGACGCTGTTTTTTTCTCGGAATCTTGATTCGTCCCGATCAACCTTTGGGTAAACTATCTGGAGTGGTACCGTAATTTGACGTGCGCTTCGCACCTTCAGCTTGCGAAGGGCTGTTACATGAACACCTGCCAATTGACAACTTATTGAGCCTTGCTAATGAGGAATTGGAGGCAGTCAATCAATTCTCTCTTTGCAGCCGAGTTAGCAATGATGATCGTGTGACTTTTGTAGCATTGTGAAAGCTAGAACCGCCTTATCTAACTCCACATATATGACTTCAGAGGAGGATTCGTCTCGATCCGAAAAGCCACGTATACAAAGGCACATTCAGGACTGTCGTGTTCTGTAGAAGTGTGAGTTGGTCGCTCCAGTTCGAGGCTTTGGGGCACCTTCAAGTGATCGGTCATTCTTGTCTGTTGAGTATTTCGGATGTCAGATAGCACTGGTGTGCAGAAGTGAGTGTTAGACGATGATAATCAAGTTTGTGCCCTGGAGTATCTAATTGCTTTGAAGGAGCTGCGTTGGTTTGGGCATGCACTACGGATGCCCGGTCACTACTTACCGATGAGTTGCTTATTTTTCTTACCGGATGTCATACGATGCAAAGCTGGAAGTGGGTATAAGTTGAGTTGCCTGCGGCAAGCGAATTCACTGATGACTAAACTGGGTGCTGTTATTCCATCTTGCTCTTTTATTTTGTGCTTAACTCGAGACTTTACAGTCCACACCAGTGGTGCGTTTACTGTCTTCTCCTAGTCAGGTTGTCTGTTTAAATGATAAAGCGCGAAACGAAGACGAACACTGATAGATGCATGCATTTCATATGGTCTCCTCACTGCCATTAACAATAACTGGTATGCATAGATATAGCAGGCCAGACATGCTTGATGTACATTGAGTGAGTGACGGATGTTCATTCCTGCGTCCATGGCAACCTTAGGCACAGGGCTGACATCCTGCCTATCGCGACCGTCTCAGTAGACCGAAACACCTTTGAACGCTGAGCCCAGCTCTGTCCGGTGACCGGAGTCCAATAGGTGTTTGCCTATCGAGGATACCGGCGGCTTACGCGAACACGGACGTTGTGGGGTTGGGAGGTTTGGGCGATTTCGTGTTGAACTCATCTCAGGACATGCTACTTTATTCGGGAACTCGGAGTCCTATTGGTTCTACCTATGTGATCAGTTACACATTTACACACGAATTGGTGTACACAGTGTAAGTTGGCCCCGATAGGCTTAAGTTTCTTCTTTACTTCACGTAAAGCTTGATATGTCGAGCTATGAAAGCACATTTTTCACTTATTGGCACTGTTTTAATGTCGTGGGTCATGTCGGTTAACTTGTTTCTGAACCAAAGTGAAAGACTGTGTGACTTCTTTTCCTTGATTACTACAACGCTTTCGGAAGTGTCAACAGGTCGATCGTGCTTAGTCGACTGTCTGCGAATGGTGAAAACTGATGGACAACTACTTTTTAAATCCCTATCATTTCACTTAGCCAAAGTATAAAAATCCCACACTCTTCGTAATGACTGGGACCTTTTACAAGAAACAATCTTCCCCTTGTATTCTTCTTCTACATCGAAATGCTTTCAATTCCTCTCAACTTTATTGGATGTAAGGGCGTCGTCGACGTAGTTCTAGGCAGCATCACTCCAACTGTCTAATCATCAACGGCTCTCCAAAGCGCTTTGCATGCTCTTCGATAATCGTCTTCTCGGTCCCTTATTCTCTACGCTTATAAATGCTACGATGTAACTTTCACTTTCCCCCGTACTGGCAAATTGACTTTGATAAATACTTCTCGCCTCATGGTCGTGAGCAACCATAACATACTCATTTACTCCAATGTTCATAGTCAGCACACCTTGACGAAATGTTCCGCAAGGTGTGTAAGTTATCATTTATGCCTTGGGACTCAAACTGCTTTCAGTTCCCTGTTCCTTAATTTACAACTCTTGACTGCCTGTATTTTTCCTCATTGGTTGTGTTGCTTATCTGTCTTTTTTCTTGTCTTCTGCAACAGACTTCACATTGGTTGTGCTCATCTCCAGGTGTATTGAATTGACAAGAGACTTTCTGGTTGACTTCATTGCTACCAGGCGTTTTAGTTCATTAAAGGTTTTAAAGGATCATTTCCACCCCCTACACGTCTAGTTTCCAAAAGCTCCCTGATGTTTGTCCACCAGCTGTAAATTTAGAGTTTTGTTTTCTCGCACATCTTATAAATAAATAAATAAACGTTTTATTGCTCGACGGTGCGAGACACGATTCAATTGAGTGGACTGATCAATTTCATAACTCTATCTTGCCTTATGTACCCCATTTTCGTGTAGACTCTAAGTAACTTATCAGCACCACGCGTGAACCTTTTACTTGAATGATGTGCATACATAATTTATATTTTTACCTTTTGATTGCAATTTCGCATCAATGCTACGCCTCAGCACATCCGCAGTGCTAGCGTAAAATACTGAAAAGTTTCCCGATCGGGCTCATAACGCATATTTTGACTTGATTTCAGCCATGGTTCATTTCCCCTGGATATTCGGACCCTACATGGCCACATTGCATCGCTGGCCCGTGTTGGTTTGTTAGGGGCAGCTCATAACGCGCAACAGGTCCGCGATCTTAATGCGGCCACCACTGCTCACGGATTTTTTCATGGACAGTCTATAGAAGAAACAAGCTGTTTTTTGCAGTCGTAATTCGAGACTGATCCGTCCATCGAAAACCCGATTGATGAATAGGGTTTTACACCTAACGTCGTACATATGGTCCCTGGAAATTACCTCCCTCCACATACAGTCACTCCCTCTCACTTAAGCATCACCTGTCTTATAAGCCGACCTTTCCCAGGCGACCTTTTCCTAGGCGATTTGAATTACTTGTTTTATTATTCGTATTAGTACAAATTGTGATATTTTACTTGGTGGATGTCCATCATTGTTTACAACCAAAACTCACATCCTCTCCACTTCCGCCCTCTCTCCCAGTTCGAAACCTTACTCCAACCGCCGGAAAGGAAACTGCGCTGGGCAATTTCACTGAAGCTGACTCTCTATCCATATCTTCCGATGGTGGTTCTGCTGAAGAAATCAACGGTCGTCCAGACCCCATTTTCGACTAACATTTGGGCTCGTCACACAGGTACATACGATATAGAGCTTACACGTTAATCTACAATGTACTCCGTATCTTTCAATTCTACGGCATTTTGTTGGTGTACTCTCCACTGCGATCATTCCTTCGGAGTGATATTGGGAATGCGGCCATCATTGATATATACTGTGTTATCGCCTCTATCACCTCTTGGTTTCCGTTAGCACTGCCTTTCTCTCGCTCTCTTGTTCAGTTTGCTCTTTCTTCCTCTACACTATTGACCTACTCTCTCTGTATGCGCCCCAATCTTTACTGAAGGGATGAAATTCACGATATTGCCGAATAGGTTTATTTATCTAAAAACTGGTACATTTGCAGGTAAGACGCATATCTCTCCATGACCCTAACATTCATTTGTATCCTGTCCACTGATTGGCTGCTACGGTGCACCATATTTGGCTGTTCACTCTCATGGCCAATCACCCACCTTGTCGATCTAGTATCGCGCAGTGAGACCGTGCATATGCGTTCACTGAAGGTGGCCACTGAACACGCTACACAACTTTTTGCAGTGTCGACTAACTATCTGGTCCTAATCTGTGTGGTCCAGTGCTGCAAGCCGTGTGAATGAGAATACATTTTTCGGTCGAAGTTGTACGCTATCAGGAGTGTCCCCAGGTTGCGGATTAGGGAATGCCTTCCTTGTGGAGGTACCTGCGAATAAGTCTCACCTGTTTTTCAGGCGAGATGAATAAGCAGTCGCGCACAATCAGCGGCAGCGTCACATAGCGTGCGGAGTTCTGGACTGGTTCTCCATCCAGTACCACATGAGCTCGTACGGCGCTGTGTCAAACCTAATGTGACCGGCTATAGGGTCACTGACCACTCACTTCTGTAATTGTAGGTGAGTATATAACGGAGGACGGATGAACAACCTTGCTCGCCACCGGCTTCTCTGTAGACTGAAACCGAACACAAAGAAAGCGAATGAGTCACGCGGCTGTCAGTGGTCTTCCTTTTTCTCCCCGCTGCCTTGCAGGTCGGGTCTTTATGACCAAAGGCTCGGGGTGGGGTCCCTTAAGTCAACACCCTTCCTTCATCTGGGCAACCGAGAGGGACAGTGCCCACGCAACACATGGATCTTCGCATCCCTTCTCCTGATTCATCCCTCTTTTTTGCCGGTACTCACGTGTTGTGGCACCATGCCAAATGTTTATTGGCCAAGTGTAATGTATATATATGGTTGGGGGCATCCGGTTTTGGATTTGCCTGTCACTGTGGCCTCCACAGGGACAGCCACAGGACGCCTGCGCCTACAGATGGGACCATGGGTGGCTTGCGCTACACCACCCACAGCTCCAACCACACACCCCATATCCAGTGTAGACCCGAAGGAATAAGACCGCGAGGCATGTGGATGGGAGCCACGTTTCATCAACGCAACAGGCCGACACTTCTTCACAGGCAAACATAAACACGCTGTGTTTGGGAATCAAGCGCACACAAGGCGGTGGCTGGACCGTAGTCCGCTCCACACTGAGTGCATGAAACCACTCTTCGAGCCTAATACGGCCACAAGGACCGTGCACCCCATCCCGTCCAGCCACGATCATCTGTCTCCTGGAGCCAGCATGAACGAGGTAGTGGGTAGTAGGCGGGTAGGCACCTCGTCAACATGCACATCAAGCGCAGCCACACCGGGGATATCAAATCACAGCCAATCACTTGAAACGACAAGATGAAATAAAACAACTCAGATAATGCATAGAGGTACGGCGGCATAACTCTTCACTAAAATGGCGTATAAAATAAATTGGTTGCGAACGAATCTGCGATAAGTTCAAGAGGTCAGCAAACAAATTTTAAGAAAATGCCACAAACGCGAAAATGTCATCGAAATTAACTACAATTAGTTTCAGCAACGTGTGCAAGTTTATAGAAGATAGTACAGGTAAACAATAATCCGAGAAAGCAAACTTTTGGGACAAAATTGAAAACTCACTACCTGAAAAAGAGACTTAGCATGCAAGCACACGGTTAGTAAATCGAATACAGCGTACCTACAAACTCTGCGCCGGTTCTGCGGGACACTTCGTCGCTTCGGTGATGGTCGCGATTGGCCTCGCTCATGGCTCACTAGGCCTGCCTGACTCAGGCACTCGCGACCGCATGTGCAACAGCACTGTGCGCTTGATGTCGATGGAGTACAACCCATCGGCGCTTGCCGCTTACGCATTTGCCGCTTCTTCTCTGCATGTATGAGGTCATTCTCCCGCACTTCGGCAACTGCCTTTGTGATCAGATCGCGCCATGCACACCGATCAATCGCCTTCGATTCCCATGATCTGCAATCAAGATTAGAACGTGAGAGGTTCACTTTGATCATGTGTTGGTAAGGTAACTTTGGTTTCCCCACATGCCGTTTCACAATACTCAGCTCGCCGTCGTTTCGGTATCCGTGTGGAATCCATACGGCTCACATGACCGAGCCACCTCAGGTGTCTCAGCAAAAGTATGCAGTCCACTGCATACATCTCAGTTCGACGCAACATTTTCGTGTCCGCGGCTCTGTCTCCCCATCCGATGCTCAGAATGCGTTGCAAACACTGTTAATGGAACCGCTCGAGATATCGCACATCCCGCCGGTACATCGTCCACGTTTCACTGCCAACGGGCAGCACCATGGATTTGTACACCATCAGCTTCGTGCCAATGGTTAGCTGATGGTTGTCCCACACTCGGTACTCTAACTTCCTGAATGCCGCCGCTGCCTTCGGGACGCGGATACGCAGCTCACTGTGTAGCTGCTGGTCAGTCGACACCACACTCCCAAGGTAGCAGAAGCGGGAGATGGTTTTCAGTACTTCAGCACCAATGCTGATTCGCGGCAATATTGAAGATTGCACCTCCGGTGAAGGTTGAAAGAGCGACAGTTTTGCTTGTCTTGATGGTGAGCCAGAATTTTGCCGCTGTCTAAGCCAGAGCACTAGTCAGGTGCTGCAACTCATCCGCGCTGTGTGCAAACAGCGCACAGTCGTCAATAAACAGCAACATACGGATAGTTGTCTCACAGACTAGAGTTCTCGCACCGAAAAGACGGATGTTCAGCAACCCACCATCAATACGGTGCTCCACACGAACGCCGTAAGCACAAGCGGCATCAAAAGCACAAGACAACATTGCATGAAGATATATATTAAACAGGGCAGGAGCTAAGACACAGCTTTGCTTCACACCATTGACAACTGCAAAGTCATCCGAGATTACTCCACTCAGCTGCACCCTTGCTCGCGGCTCCAAGCTCGGTCCATACACCGTCTTCATGGAGTCAAAGAACTCGTTGTGTTGACGGCGTTCGGCGTAGCATTCCATCTGCTTCGCCTTCTCCGTCCAACATGCATTTTTTGTGCGACGGAGCTCTCGGGTCAGTCGCCATGGTAGTTTGCGAAACGGACTATTCTTCCCCAAGTGACTGGGGTCTGCCATATGTACAACAAACGCTGCATCCTTCTCAGCCACTAATGCGACAATCATCACATTATTATGGTCAAACCAATCAGGCCGTTTATATTTTGCGCGTCCAATAGTCACCTCGGCAGCAGCTGCCACCTGGTCGCGAATATGGTGCCACAGATCGCCTACTGTTTGTATGCATCCCACATCACACAGGCGTGCAGCCATCGCCTTCTCTAGCGCAATACATTTCTTCACAGTACCTAGGGATAGAATATTAAATTTACGCCGATTCACGGCGGGAGTGCAATACATTGATCTACGAAAATATATGTACGGTTTGGTCCGCACCAATTTGTGATCAGTGCCACACTCAGCTCCACGCAGTACACGTGTCATGCGCACTTCACGCATATCACGCTGACGTACGATGACATAGTCGAGCAGGTGCGCGTGACCACTCTGTGGGTGCGTCCAAGTTGCTATATCACTTGCACTCAGTGCAAACCGAGTGTTCGTGATCGTCATGCCGTGAGTGCACACAGTGAGAGCAGTCTGTTACCGTTCGCATTCGCTGAACCAATGCCATGCGGACCGATAACATCTGTCCACACCGATGCATCACGCCCAACGCGCGCTTTGAAATCACCCAGCAGAAATAGTCGGTCGCTCCACGGCACAGACCGTATCACGGAGGATAGCTCAGTGTAGAACTGATCACGCGTGTCATCAGAATAACACATGGTCGGACCGTACGTGCTTATAAAAGTGACAAACTTACCTCTTCCGAGTCGTAGGCGAACAGTCATCAGTCGCGCGCTGATGCCTGTTGGTTCACCTACGAGCTGGTCATGGAGGCGATCGGATATTGCAAATCCGACCCCATGATCACGTGGTGCTGAGGTGGTGTTGCCCACCCAGTAGAATGTGTAGCCAGCACCTGCTTCATGCAACAGCTTGCTCAGCAAGCCGAGTCTCACTGAGCGCCGCAATATCGATGTGTTAGCGCGCCAGTGCCATCGCGACGAGGGCAGTGCGTCGCTCGGGACGCTCACTCGAGTTCCGGTCCAGTAGTGTGCGCACGTTTCAGCTCCCGATACTGAGTGCCTTGCGCTCAGGCATACGATTGCATTGATGAGCAATCGCACGTGAGGTGGCGGATGTGCTTCGGAGGTTTGCTTGAGGGACTCCACCCGAAGCCTTTGGCTCAGTGACCTGACCCACAAGACAGTGCGGAGCTGATCCAGCTCGGGAATGTGATTGCAGAGACAGATTGGGATCTGCTTGACGGCCATCACACGTAGCCTTTGAGGTACTGGAACGATTCATATATGTTTTGCGACCGTAGTAGGATACACCTGCGACCACGGCCAGACACAGGTGGGTTTTGGTGGATTTGCACTAATTTGACCAAGGCTGACTGGCTTGAGGCGGGCAGTAGCAAACTGTTGATAATCCAGAGATGTCCTCTCCCCGTTAGAGACAATGCGTGGCGCTCGTGCTCTACGCCAATCGCGCTGTGAGCTTAACCCGTAGACCTGTTGTCTGCCATGGCTGTTTTACGGGAAGAGGGCCATCGACCACTTTCTAACCTCCGAAGAGGATGGACTGGGATACTCGCAGGGCGCACACACCTGACAGGAGAACGACCCGGGTCCTCAGCCAAAGCTTTCGATCAAATGTACGCCCGGAAGGCAGCCGGTCTAGCCCATGGTCAGTTCACTGACTCCTGCGGAATGGTATCCTGGATCTTAGCACGGAGAAGGGCGTATCCTAACTCCTACCCAGCGCTCGCCACCACGAGTCGTCTAGGACATGAGCCAATGGCACAACATTAGCAGTAGTGGGTAGACCATCTGTCAGGATCTAGCCACCACCAGCCTCAACGCATCATAGGCTTTCCCGCCATACATGGTTGGCGACATCCGGTTTCGGATTTGCCTATCACTGTGGCCAGCCACAGGACGCCTGCGCCTACAGGGGGACCATGGGTGGCTTGCGCTACACCACCCACACCTCCAACCACACACCCCATATCCAGTGTAAACCCGAAGGAATAAGACCGGGAGGCATGTGGATGGGAGCCACGTTTCATTAACGGAGGCGGCCCACGCTGCTTCACAGACGAACACAAGCACGTTGTATTTGTGGAATCAAGCGCACACAAGGCGATGGCCGGACCGTAGTCCGCTCCATATTGAGTGCATGGAACCACTCTTTGAGCCTAGCACGACCACAAGGATCGTGCACCCCATCCCCTCCAACAACGACCAACGGTCTCTTGAAGCCAGTATGGACGAAGTAGGCACCTTGTCAACATGCACATCAAGCGCAGCCACACCTGAGATGTCAAACAGCAACCAGTTCTTCGATATGCCGATATCAAATAAAGGACAGCGAATAAATTAAACCTATTAGACGACATATGTTCTCGCTAAATGGGCATATGGAGTACATGGGTTATAAGCGGATTCGCGATAAGTGCAAAATGTCCGGAAGTTATTTTGGAATTACTGCGTGATAAAGTTACGCAAGGTTACCACAATTTCCATTAGTGACGTGGACATGTTAGGAGAAAATTATCACGTACGCAGAACAAACTAAAACTGCAATGAATTTTATGCCCATTATAAGAGCTAATTTAAGTGTAAGTTGCTTTAGCCCAATTGCGGTGAGGAAGCATAATAAATGCAACATCAACCTCAGCATGGGACATTATATATACATATATATATGTATATTCTTATGAATACCTACACTGAAGACTCTATCCTCTGTCGTACTTCTTCCTTACTCTCCTGACTGGTATGGTTGATGTTCTTCCTTATTTCCGTACAATTCTGATCGGTAGCAATGTTTTGCCATCCCACCCATTTGGCTAACCGCGTGGATGCTATGCTTGCCTTCCGTTGCTTTTAGCCAAATAGCATCACCCACCATGACATTGTTTTGTAGCCATCTGTATCGATGTTATGCTTCTTTGCGTACCCCGCCCTTTTCGAAATTTTCGACGATTACTCCATTTATCCTACTAGCCTATTTAGTGACAGTCACCACAGTGACGCCTTCTTCCTAGGTGATACCTTAGTGTGCATCGCTAGCCCACTGCACTCGCCTTAAGTTTGCTTTCCTTCTAGGAGTCCGTAACTCCTTTTCCTTCATTTCACCCACTTAACTTGCTACTTTCCTCTGGTTTTCGTTCCCATGGTCGCTCCTTGCTGCCTCCATTTCTCTGATGCATGTTACTTCATAATCTCTTCTCCTCATCCTACTCTTCTGGTCGGAAAACAAGATGCCGATTTCCGATGTTTACGCGGCGCACTTTCGTGCTTCCTAAAGCACTATCCCACCTGCCAGTGCAGCGAAATCGGAAGCACCGCAGGGCACATTGAAGTATCCATTTTCATCAGCTTCCGGCTATTGCCTTCTCAAACTTTACTTTGTTTATTGAGCTCAGACCTTGTCTGTAGTCTGTTCTTTCTTCCTTTTCAGATTTTCCGGCTTCCATCTAGTCATTTTCATTCCCACTCGCTTCTTTGCCTTGGTGGACTTCTACCCCGCACTGCCAAATTCTGACTCGCGTATTACGATATCATACTCTTCCACAGTATCTACGCCCATTGGATGCATCCTGCTCTCTCCTCCTCTGTGAGATGATTACTGCTGACTACCACATAAATTAGACGATCCAATCTTTTTGATTTTTAGTTTTTTACATTCATTATTTACCTCCCCCCATTTTTGGCGCTTCGACCTGTGTGAAGCTTAGCTGGGGTTCGGCTTCCGCTCCTTCACAATCTCAGCAACTTTCAGCTTTTTGCCTTACACTTATGAGTCAGTTATCTTTGGTGCGCAATCGACAATCCTCTAATTATTCTCGCCATTTTGGTCTATCCTGCTTAACTCTATCGTTCCTTTCATCATTGCCCACTTGACATGTTTTGTTGGGTATCCGGGTTCTTTGTACTTAAACCCATTTTGGTTCATTTGACCACTTTTCAATCCATTCTTATGCCTACCTTCCGGTGAGGTTAATTTCCTCCTCCGTTTGGTGTTTTCCTTAGTCATCTGCAATTCAGGGTGCAATAGGGGCCTCAGTATTCGCTTGTTTTACAACAATCTTTTTATCGGTCCTGTCTACTTTTCTGTTGATTTTGTCCACTCAACTGGGTTTACCTCCTCGACCACTTCAACAAATCTTGACCTCACTCCTTCACGTTAGCCCAGCTTAAGTCCTATCGATGAAATCTACATTACTTATGATGACAGCACCACTCCCCATTGGTCGCAGTGCTGATTTTGCAGATCTAACTGGATATGGGATTTATTAAAAATCCTCGACCTACTTGGGCTAACGCGGTATCACTGAGCTTACGTGCCGTTTTTGCTTCGGCCTGCAGGGACTATGTCCATCAGACTGTGAGTTATCAACGCCACTCAACCCTTTGACTGTAACCTACTTCGACGCACGTCTTGTGTGTCTTGGTGCTGTGTGCATACCGGTGCTTATTCACCACCACCAGTCTACTTATGCGCGTCCATCTGAGCCGATTGTGTAACAAATATGCTCGACATGAGGCTGTTGGGTCCCATCGGACTAGCGTAGACTCAATTGATCCGTTTCACCCTCGTGCTCGCTCTCTCGTTTTATGAGCTATTTGCTTATTCGCTGGGAGGCGTTAGCTCACGCCTTGACCTCGGTATTATTGTGTTGTATCGGTAGATGCTACTGTATTGCGCTAAAGGCCATCCGGTACTCATTTTAGCCGGGCGAAATATGTACTTTTTCTTCTATCTTGACTACTATTACAGTGACGACTAGACGTTCTGACCTATTCGCTGGTGCCATGTGACAGCTACCGGGGGTCGTGGCGCATTATATATATTTGCAACGGTCTACGAATAGATATAGAGCCATCAGAAACCATGGGACTCAAAAGAAGCTACAGAAATAGTAAAAGAAAACACAACACATCAAAGTCCATGATTTCGTCAGAGGGCGAGATACTACCCGGTTGCCCAAACCGAAGTAGGGTGTTAACTTAGGGGACACCACCCCGAGCCTTTGGCTGAATAGCCTGCCCGCAAGGCAGCGGAGTGAATTCACGGCATCGTGCCCATGGGGAGCCGCTGACTGATTGCTCAGTTCATATGCTTTCCGTTTGTTGCTTAGTCAAACAGGGGCCCAA